CCCCAAAACCCCAAAACCCCAAAACCCCAAAACCCCAAAACCCCAAGTACTTAATAATATATTGTGACTCATGAATATTGAGGATGACCAAACTTAGTAATTAGACCCATACTCGCTCCAGCTGCCATCATAGAGCTTTATTTTTGGAAATCCAATGGATGAAGCCTTCATAAATCCAACTATACCTACTGTAGCAGCAATTCCAGTTCGACACATTCATACGATCTCTTTTTTGGGATCTAATTTGTGTTTAGCTGCTAAATCACAAATTTCTTCTTCAGATTTGAAGGTTCCATCCTGATTCATAAACTCTGATGCCTCAATGTTGATTGAACCCTCAATATTACCTTGCCTTCAGCCCTCAATATTATCGGTAGCTTCACCATTGAATGATTTGGCTGCTCTACAATCAATAACTTGGAATGTGTCGACTTTGCCTTCTTCAAAGTTATGCATCTCCTCAAGAGTCACAACTAAGTCTTTAGATGACTTAAGTGAGCCAATTATAGATCTTTCTCCAGAGTAATCAGTACCTTGCTGAGTTGGTAACCCTAGACCTTCGTAGCTCCTTAAGCCTCCTTCAAGAATCTTGACATTAAGCCCATAATGGTTTAGAATTACGTATGCTCTCGTAGCTCCTGAGTGCTTCCCCGGATGAAAATAGAGAACCAATTCATCAGTCTTGTTTATTCCTAATGCTTCAAGGCTCTCCTTCACAACCTCAGCAGAAGGAAAACCATTTGGATATTTTGCTTGGTTATCTTTTAAAGTTTTAAAGACATTGAGAAATAATGCATTTGGGATAGCCTTTTTGTAAAAAGCTTCAGCTGCTGGCTCTCCTCCTGCACTAACATCAATGACCTTTAGATTAGTAAAGACATTTTTCTTAATTGTTTTCCTATCTTTCTCGAATATTCGTTTAGCAAGTTTTTCAGCTGTGATAAACATCGAAAGTGAGCTATCTGATCACCCCATATTCTTATATTTTAACAAATTAAAACTTCGGTGATTTTATAGTGTCTCAACGACTCACAGAAGCAGTGGGGTTTTGGGGTTTTGGGGTTTTGGGGTTTTGGGG